AAAAATAAATAAAAAAACGTTGAAAAAAAAAAAACAATTATCAACGACTGCTTTGGTTAATTTCTCAGAGCACGAAAAGTCCTTCATTTCAAATTATCTGGAAGGCCTTAGAAGTTTTCTCCTTTTTCATCTAATACATTTCTTTATCAACGCAGAGGAATTCAGTCAACAATTTTTTACCAGGCCCGCATTTGCTACATGCCAGCCACTGTTAACATACTGATGTTGGAGCTCAGCTCAAAGCAGAAGGTGCTCAAGGTGTGCTGTTTGGGTTGTCTCAAGCTGAAAACCATTTCCTAAGTGCTAGTTCAACATTTCCCACCTTAGCTCAATTTATCCAAAGATACCAAATTAGTCCATTTTGATCAAAGCGGTACCATCAAAAAACGTGTAGCCAAGGGGCACCTGGGTGGCTCAGTCACTTAAGCGTCCAACTCTTGACCTTGGATCAGGTTGTCAAATCAAGTCCTGCATCAGGCTCCTTGCTGGGGCCTGGAGCCTGCTTGAGATCCTCTCTCACTCTCCCTCTCCCTCTCCTCCCCCCAACTCTCTTGCACATGTGCACACTCTCTCAAAAAAAAAAAATGTCTAAGAGATCTTCATCTTTTGAAACACAGCATGCAATGGAAGAAAAGCATCACTACTAGAATCAGAGAAATGTGAATCCAAATCCTACCCCTGCACCTTAATAGCTATTTGGACCTTGGGCAAGTTACTGAGTACTTCTGAGCTTCCGCAAATTTCCCCTCCTCTGTACTACGGTAATCCCAGAATCTCAAGCCCAGAAGCCCAACTTATTCTTCAACCTATTCTATACCCATCCAAGTTGGTAAAATAGGCCATCTTTCAACACAGTAATGACCCATATTATCATTCACATCTCCAACAAATTGAAATTCAAGTCTTAGCACTTGAAATTTTAAAATAAATGAAAATATTCAAATCAAAAAGGCAGAAAAAGATAAATCAAAGTAGAATTCACAAATTATTAAGGTTTATCTGTCCACCTTGTTCTTTTAAGAGAGTATGAGCACTGAAGTGGGGGAGAGGGGCAGAGGTAAAGAGAGAATCCTAAGCAGGCTCCAAGCTCAGCACAGAGTCCGACACAGGGCTTGACCCTACAACCCTGGGATCACGAATCAAGATCCCTGAGCCGGAGTCGAGAGTCGACGATCGACCGACTGAGCCACCCTGATGCCCCTCCGCCTTGTTCTTAATTCATTCTCACTTTAAGTATTTATTCCAAACAGATTTGGAATTGTTACATGGGATTTTTTTCCTTGATAAGATCTGAGATAATCAGTTAAAAAAAAACTACTATCACAGGTTTTGAATCTTTTAAATCAACTAGCCCAAATCTGTTACTTTATAAAACTGAAGAAACTGGGACATAGAATAATATGAAGGACAAATAAAAACTACATTTTAAAAGACTTCATGACATAGGAGTGTTCAATACAGAATACTGAATGAGAAAAAAGGATTATGACAATCTACATACAATATGAGCCTAAATAAAAAAAATAAACATAAAAGAATGTGGATTATATTTATTCTTTATACAATTCTGAATTTCATAAATTTTCTATAAGAAACATATTTAAAATTTAAAATATTCACAATATTCTGTTTCCAATTAAATGGGGTATTTAATTCATAAAAAGTTATGAAGAAAATACAAATGTGTAGGCACTGAAATATGTAGTGACTTGCTCACAATCCCACAGCTAAATGGAAACAAAGCCAAGACAAGAACCCAGGCATCAAATCCAGGGCCCTCCTCATTGTACCACGTGACCTCTAAGACACGAAAACAATATTTGCTCCCCAGTAATTGCAATGGAAGAACTGGTAAAAAGCTGGAAGCCCGGGACTTTTAAATTTTGTGAGCAATACATGCTCTTTTTTCCCCCTCAAATAAAAAGTAAAAGAAAAAGAGCACTTGTTCAATTCAATTATCAACTTATTTTACCAATACTGTTTTTGTCTCCTCAAATCTACTGCCAATGACCTTAAACTGTGCTACAGATTACATTTTATAATACTATTACCAGATTAGACCACACAGATAAAGCTGGAGAGTTGACAGCTCATGATAATCTCCCAGCCTCAAAAGAACATCTATTTTGCCACGTTTGTCTTTGGAACCCTGCACCACATAGTGCAATCCCTGGCATAGAGTAGGTGCTCAATAAATGTTTATTTTATAAAGCGTAACTTCCCACCCCTCACATTATCACTAGCTGCCAGACTTTTAAATATTAGAACAAAACTAGTAAAATATCATAATTTCATATTTGGAGTCTGTAAGCATTTACAATATAAAGGATTTATTAAACAGATTGTTTACAATCAAATGTAAGGGGAACACGTCAGTAGAATATTTCAAGCACTGAACAAATTAATTTGCACATTAATTACAATAATTCTTATCTATTGAAATGGGCCTAACCTTTACTCGGCATTTTTTTTCTGTGTAGTTGGAGTCACTGAATGCACTAGAAAGCAATAAAGTTCCAAATATAGCACAAGGGGCACTGGACTAGCACCTAGACCCTAGTCCAAGCTCTGCCAATAATCAGATACATAATCTTGGGCAATTCACTTTTTCTTCTTTTGAGTCCTGGTTAACGTACTCATAAAAAATGAAGAGCTGAACTACAAATCACCAGGGATCCTTCCGATCTTAATTTTTTTTAATGATTTCTTATCCGTAAAGATTCTATATTCAGATATTTTTTCATTGCATCAAATACAATTATCTTGAATGTTAGTTTGCCATATTATTCGATAATCAAAACTTAGCACATTTCCTACAAATATAGAAATATTAGTACCATATATTCTTTTTACCATCTTATATTAGGAGCAACAGAAGAAAACAAGAAATGTGAGCATCTGATAGTCGGGCCTGCTTTGCCAGTTGGTTGGGCTGACAGGAACCACGGTGGATTTTACAATACAAACCACTGATACATAAATACACACACGTATATATCTATATATACATACGATGGGTGAATACTTATTTTTATTGATACACCTATGTGTGCAAATTTAAAAAATTGTATGTAATTATAAAATACTTGTTTATGGTAAGAAATCCAAACAGGACATTAGGCCACGTGCAAATTCAAAAGCGTCCCACCCCTCTCCATCCTCCCTTAAGTAGCCACTGTTAACATTTTTCTTGTGTACCCTTCAAGAAGTTATCCGAGGCCATTCAAATATGTAGATGCGTGTGTGTATAAATCTTTTTAAACCAAACTGCTGCCACTTCTTGAATGGTGGGGAAAAAATATCTCAAGCACTGGCTTCATAAAACGTTAAATACGTACATCGAAAGTGGTAGCACAGTTGTACGGTACCAAGTGTATACGCTTCGGAAGTGTGCAATGAACTGAATATTTAATTTTCTTCCTTGGAGGCTCTGGGCAGCAGTTGCGCAGAAAGAGCGGGAGCAAGGAGCCAGACAACCTGGGTTCCAATCTAAGTAGTTGAGTAGCCTTAGACAAGCCTTGAAATCTTCCTGTGCCTTACTTTCTACTTTTGTAAAATATCAGTGTTGGACTAAGATCCCTTCCAACTCTAAAATGTTATAGTTCTAAGATGGCCGTCTGTAACAGTTCTATTGAACTGGTTTTAAGAAGTGTGAAGTAAAAAAAGAGAAGAAAGAAACACTATAGCAACCTCCAGTCTTACAAGAGTACATTTCTATGCGTCATTAGCCATCCGAGGCATAGTGGGACAGACCTAGGGACAGAATTCGATTTGAAAGCAAAGTAGTAGATTATTAAAATCGGATAGGCAGGTTTTTACAGAGCTTTGATTGACATTTTTCTTTTTTTTGGAGGTGGAGGGGGCTGTTTTAGTTTCAGCAATAACCACTCCCCCTCTTCCCGAAAACAATTAAGTGTATTAAGGAGTTAATATAATGAAACTGAAAGTTAGACTGAATTTTGCTTTACTCACAGAATATCCTGGGGAGGTGACTAGGGCAGCAAAGATTGGAAAGAATTACTAGCTAATTTCCTCTCCCGGAAGCTCTCCGGTTCCTATTCTTTCTGCTTCACAAGCCCCCGGCAGGCACACTCCACCCAGCTCCGTACCTGCCACACGCATCAGATTCGGGGGTGGGGAGAGGGCGGTCTCTTTGATAATTAAAAAAAAAAAAAAAAAAAAAAAGTTCTTTGACTCGATTTACCTTAGGGGTCACAGGGGTTGGGAGGGCACCGGCCGGCCCGAAGCCACACACCCACCCACGCCTTCCTTCGGCGCTCCCGGGAACCTGGGCAAGGAGCCGCGGCTGGGCCACCCGCGCCGCGCAGGGGCGGCCTTCCCGCCCTCCCCCGCAGCGCGGGGCCCGCGGGGAAGGGAGGGGGGGGAGGAGGAGGAGAAGTAGGAACCCGTACGGGCAGTACCCACCGCGCCAGGAGAGTCAACCCGGATCGCCCGCGGCGCCCAGCGCGGTCCGGAGGGGAGGGTCCTGGAGAAGGGGCGGCCCGAGCCCCAATCTGGAAATGCCAACTCCGCTCGGCGCCGGGCCCCAGCCTAGAAGGAAACGGAAGTCCCTTCGTCTCCCTCAGGCGCACCCACCAGCCCGCCCATCTCCCGGAGGAGCCCCGAGTCGGGGAACCCGAGGCGCGTCCGCGACAGGGCCTCAAAGAGACACCGGCCACGGTCCGACGGTCTCACAGCCTCGGCCGCGCCACTGGGCCCCCTCGCAGGCTTCTTTTTGCTGCCCCCGCTGGGAGGCCAGCCCCCCGCCCTGCAAGGCCCCTCCTTCTTCGCCCTCCGCCATTTTCGAACTTACCCTTCGGGCCCCGAAGTCCCTCGAAAAGCGCTGAGCCCTCCCGGGGCGCAGCCAAGGTCCCGCCACTTCCCTGGGCCGGAGCGGAGCTGCCAGGACAATCGTGGCCC